GGTTAGCGGTTTATAAGTTATTTTGATTTTATTAAAAAAATAAGGTGGATATTTTGATTTTTAATGAGAACTTTTAGGATTTTTTGCGTATGGATGTGGGTCCAAAATATAATAATTTTATTAGCAATTAAATATGGTTGGTATAGATATTAAACTATTGATTTAATTAAAAAAATACAATGGTTCAAACAGATCATAAATTGAATATATAATTTAAAATTTACATCTATTGAAGATTCTTTATTTATTTATAAAACATACCAAGATCAATATGTATGAGATATATTATCTATGCCTATATTTGCAAGTGTATGCAGTCTTTGAAAGTATGATAAAATTAACTTACTAATATAGAAGATATTATATACCCTTAAGCCTTAACTTAATTACCATAGAAAAAAAGGGAGGCGAGCAAGGAAAAAATCACACAGACTCTTATCATGCGTATGGATGGAAGCATGTATACGTGTTGGGTGGACTCGTACCGCCAGATTGATCTTAAGTTTTTTACTAAAGATAAATCTAATGGTATCTGATGGTAAAAAAATATTAGGTCCATCAGATTGAATAAAACCAATGGTTAGATGTTCTCCTTTTTCCATAGATTTTCTAGGAATTAATTAGAGCGTCCGGTGTCATCTTTGCACTGTTTCTTGGAATCTCACGTGGCAGTTTAGGAGCTTTTTAGGATATTTAATGGACTTTTATATAATAGATAGATATATCTACGTGGGTTTGTGAAATTTACTCCATAATATATATTTCCATTTTTAATATTTTGTTTTTATTTGGTTGTAATGCAAAGAAAAATAGTATATATTCAAAGTTAGGAAAGTGTTTTTCTTATATATAGATTTGATAGGTTCACCGGTTTAAACCATCTATATACCTAAATCTAATGGTTTTAATGTTTGTTTATATTTAGTTTTCATGCAAAGCACAATGGTATAGGGTAAAATTTAGGGAAGTGTTTCTTTTATATATAGATAAATGGGTTCACCGGTTTAAATAATCGTTAAAATATTTTTTTAGGGACAATGGTTAAAATAGTTGGTTCACCGATCGATTTAAGTGAAAAGCAAATGTTAGATGTTTTATTATAATATTTTTCCATGTTAAAATTTTCATCTAGAAATAGGAAGAGAAGGATTGGAAGAGGGGAGAAAGCATGGCATTGTATTACGTACATACATACGTACTAAGGAGAGAAGGGGTGGGTTGTGGGATATTATTTTTATAAAGATAAATATAATAGTTGAAAATAGTGAGTCTAGCGATTTATTAAACAAATAGTGGATCAACCGATTTATTAGAACGCCACGTAGCGGTTTAGAAACGTTTTGTAGGATGTCATATGGTAATTTAGGAGCGTTCGTAGGAAGTAGCGTTCATAGGAAGTTTAATGAACTTTTAGTATATAATAGAAGATTTTTCTTTCTAACTAATAAAGCATAAAAAATATGAGAAGGAAGAGTTAATCTAGGAAGAGGGTGGTGTAATAATAATAATAATAATAATAATAATAATAATAATAATAATAATAATAATAATAATAATAATAATAATAATAATACATGAGGTATATTATTATTATTTTCATATATAGTAGGTAGTTGTATATGAGATATAAGTACATACGCACGCTGGGTGGGGTTAGGTTTGGGTGGTTAACTTTTTCTATAAGATAAATCTAATGGTAGTAAATAATGGGTCCATCAAATATAATGAAATCAACGGCTACATGTTGGAGTGGCATGTGGCGGCTTAAGAGCGTTTTTAGGATGCCACGTGGCGACTTAGGAGTGTTCATAGAAAGTTTCATGAACTTTTAGTTAATACAGATCTAATAACGACGTAAAATAATGTGTCCATCGATTTTAGTGGAAACCAATGGTTGGATGTTTCTCTAATTTAAGAGTGCCACACAACGGTTAGAAACATTTATATGATATTTAATGGATTTTAACGCATTTGATGTCTATTTGTGGGGGTATTCTTTTCTATAAAAAGATATGTTCAATTTTAATTAGGATTGGAAAAAGAAAAGAAAGGAACAAATGAAAAAAAAAGTACGAAACAGATGGAGCCACGGAGGTGGTGGGGCCGGTGGGAGGTTTTTGGTTTTTAAAATAGATCTAACAATGTAAAATAATGGGTCCACCGATTTAAATGAAAATCGATGGTCAGATTCCTCTATTATATTAGAGTGCCACGTGGCAATATGAGAGCGTTTTAAGGGAGCCATGTGGCAGTTTGAGAGCGTTTATAGAGAGTTTAATGGAATTTTAGTATATAATAGATACTCGGTCCTACCTCTCATACACACGTAACGTCTTAGAGTTCGTGTTGCAGCCAACTACAAATCTGTAGCCTTCTTTCTTCTCTCTTCTTTTTTTTCTCGATATGTGGTTATAGCTGGCTTATAGCTTGCTATTATACCTGCTCTTACTAACCTCTCGCGCTCCTTGGCCTTCTCCCTGACCTTGTAGTAGACATGCTCGTCGATTGCATCCTTGAGTTCCTCAAATGCGTCCCTCAGGGCAAGTGCTATAAGTCTCTATATATTGCTCCTAAATTTGCCACATAGGATTAGGTGATGAGGTGGAGGAGAGAAGTTAGGAGAGAGAGAATGAGCCACCCCTTATGCAAGGGGCAACCTCCACACAATATCCAAGAAAAGTACAAGATGATGTGAGAGTAAACTAATATGGGGGTTTGTGCATTAGATGTGATATGTTGTACTTGTTACCTCTTAATTAATGAGAAAATGATATGGTTTAAATTAGGTGTGGCACTCACCTCCACTATAAAACTTGCCCTCAGAGGTCACAGCCACACATCCAAATCCTGAGGTTGATTTGGTAAGATGACATCCAACACCATCTGCAAATCCTGATATAACTTGTCCCTCGAGGGCTGCAACCTGTCAGACATGCAGTCCGTGTCCAGGTAGGCTGAGGCCTTTTTGATCAGGTCGACGATTACCACAGCTGTAGCTGACTTCCCTGCAAACACGAAATCCATGGTGGCCCAGTGATATTTGTGTGTGGGTGAAAGAAGAGGGTAGTAAGGCGGAGACAGAAATTAGCTGGCTTTGTATAGACGGTAGGCCCTGGCCCTCGAAGTTTTCTACTCCCTCTATTTCATATTATAAATCGTTTGACTTTTTTCTTAGTTAAATTTTTACGTTTGATCAAGTTGGTAGAAAAATATACTAACATTTTTAATAGAAAACAAATATATTATTAAAATATATTTAATGTTAAATTTAATGAAACTAATTTGATGTTGTAGATGCTGCTATTTTTTTCTCTAAACTTGATCAAACCTAAAAAAATTTGACTAAGAAAAAAGTCAAACGACTTATAATATGAAACGGATGGAGTACCTGTTGAGTGCATGCACCCAGCTAGTTGACCCAAAAGATTTCTGTTGGTGGGAAATTCACGTATATATTACCTAACACCTCATCAGGTAGGCTAACTTGAGATCTTTTTACCATACTAGCCATCAACTCATGCATCTGCATGGGCTACTGAATTAATTTAATGTACAATAGATTCACACTTTTTATATTTAAATATATCTATGACTTATCTTCACCTTTTGCATTTGAGTATCACTACTCCAAAATTAAGTTTAATTTTAATCACGGTTTTGGATGTGGAAATCATTTATTGTAGATTATATAGTTCTCTAAATTTCCATTCATTTTTATCAGAATTTCTAGCTTAATATATTTCCATCAATACAGGAATTTCTACGATTGACTGATTAAAATTATCAAGTACTCCCTCCGTCCCATAATATAAGGGATTTTGTATAAATTTTGAAATGTATGTGCACAAAGGGAGTGTTGATTAGGACACATTTTCCGGTCAAAGTTTGAATAAGCACAGCATGCAGCTTTCACAAAAAAAAGGGAAAAAAACAAGAAAGAATGCTTTTGTGATAAGCATACCTGGACCCAAATAAAAAACAAGCTAACTCCATCGCTCGCAGCACATCTGTTCATTAATTTATTCAACTCCAACTGTGTGCATGTTGTATTAACATCATAATAGATTAGGTCATTTTTAAAGCCAATCCATACATCAGATTGGTTACACAAAATTGACGGAGAGATCTTTTTTAGCGGTCAACGCAAGAATTTCTAGATTTTTAATATTTTCCCAAATTAATGCAAAATTTTCTTGCTTTTATGCCTCATAGAATTAGTGTGGGGGCTTTGAAGATCGCCTCTAACTGAGCTGCTGAAAAAGGAAGCTCAATTAACTTATACCCCCACACTACTAATAAATCCTACAGCCACTTAAAGAAATGTCTTGCAAATGAAGATGGACCTCATGTCTAGATGCAACTATGATATAGTGGACCAACGATAAGATCTTGCCAAAAATTCTATGTCATTTCTTCCATTAGGAAAAGCATAAGTGCAATCATCTGCATGTTTGTGTACACTTGTGTGGAGTACCCTGAGCAGTTTATATTACTTCAGTCAAAGAGACAACTGTACTGGTCTCTGGTGGTAAAAGAGACAAAGATTAATTAGGACCAACTTTACATCTCCCACCAATCCTTAAGTAACTTGTACATGAAGGGATGCAGTCCGTTGGACATGCAGTACTTCTCTCGGTAGGCCAATGCCTTGTTGATCAGGATTTACGATGAACATATAGTTGTCAATGACTTCCATGCAAACCATAGGATATTCTCGTGTAGCCAAGAGAGAAGCACAGGCAGATGGAGATGGGAGTGGTTAGCTTTGTAGGGACTATTAGAAGAATAATGGGAAATTCACTTGCATAATACACATCTTCAAGTGGAGATTTTCTTATGCCTAAAACTTGGTCTAGGAATTTTTTTAAAAAAATATTACTTCAATCACAGAGGCCACTGTTCTGTGCTTAAAGAACCCAAGTTTTACGAACAGAAGTACATCTCCCAGCATTTCATCGATCTTCATCTCTCTTTTACGACAAAAATATTGAAGGACTAACATGGCATCTGCTGTACTAGTGTTTGCAGGGAGGTCAGTCGCAACCCCAGCGATCTCCTTCTTTGTCAACAAGGCATTCAGCTACCTGAACAAGTACCACAAGTCTGAAGGATTGGGAGACATGAAGAAAAGGCTGAAGATGAACATACCCAAGATCCAATCAGTGATCGATGTAGCTGATCCTGATTACATCAAGGAGAGGAGTGAAGACCTTGATACATGGCTGTGGCAGCTCAGGGATGCAGTTGAGAAGGCTGAGGATGCTATCGATGAGCTTGAGTACTACGAGCTCAAAGAGAAGCAAAAGGATCTAAAGGATAGTCACCTGGGATCTTCTTTTGCTAAGATGAACCACAAATTTTTCCAGTCTGTTAAGCATGTTAAAATGTTGGGTAAGACATCTGATTCCCCTCTCAAGAGGTTAAAGAAAGCCATGGAAGATTTAGATGAGGCGGCTAAAGGCGTTGAGAATTTTCTCACAGTTGTAGATCAAATCACAAGACCCAATTTAAACATTCCACAACGGCATCATTCGATCAGTAGGTACCGTGAAACAGGAAGGATGTTAACTGCTGATAGGGTGTTTGGCAGAGAAAATGAGAAGGAACGGATTGTTGGATGGTTGACTAGTACATCAAGTGAAGAGAACGAAGTTGTCATGAATAATAATCCTGTCCCCATTATGTCAATAGTTGGCCATGGTGGCATAGGGAAAACCACTTTGGCTCAGCTTATCGCCAAAGAAAACAGGATCAAGGAACATTTTAAAACCGTGATTTGGGTTTCTGTCTCTACAAATTTTAATGCAGAAACATTGATAAGTAAAATAATACAATCTGTTACATTATCAAAACCTAGTTTCGATACCTACGATGCACTACAAGAACATTTGGCAAGGACACTTGAGACCATTAAATATCTTCTCATTCTAGATGATGTCTGGGAAGATAAGGAAATCTCTGAGTGGGAAAAACTATTTGCCTCTTTGAGAACAGGAGTGTATGGGAGGAAGATTTTGTTGACAACCCGAATGCAATCAGTGGCAGATTTAGCATCAGCTGTAATGAGATGTGAAAGGGAGCGCTTTCCATTATGTGGACTTGAAGAAACTGAAAATTTAGAACTTTTTAACCATCATGTCTTCACCTATCCAGATCCCCAAAAATTTGAAGAATTACAAGAAGCTGGAGAAAAAATTGCAAGAAACTAAGAGGGTGTCCCTTGGTAACAAAGGTTATTGCTGGGCATCTACGGGAGGACATGACAGTTCAATTCTGGAATAAATTCTTGGATGAGCAGCTGGGTTATTTTGATGGAGGTATGGAAGATATCATGAAAGTTCTGAAAGTAAGTTACTACCACTTGCCACCTGGCCTACAGGTTTGCTTCCGATATTGTAGCATTTTCCCACAAGATCATGAATTCAAAAAAGAAGAATTGGTACAGATGTGGATAGCTTCAGGATTGATCTCCCAGACAACAGGTGAAGCTGAAAATGCACGGGATGTTGCAGAAGAGTGCTTAGCTCAACTAACTAGAAAGTCATTCTTTAATCTCAAATTAAGAAACTTTCATTTTGAAAGGAATGAATGCCATGAATACTATGTGATGCATGACTTAATGCATGATTTGGCAACATGGGTTTCTTCAGGTGAATGTGCAAGAATCTTTGACGCTAATGGCTCCAAGAAAGTAAAAAGAACAGTACGTCACCTATCTGTTGTTGGTATTAATAGTTTTCCAGCTGACATCATTAAAAGTTTCTCCCGGTTCAAAAATCTCCGCACCATTGTCTTTGAAGATTGCCATGATATCCAGGACAATACTGTATGTTCAGTGGAAGAAGTTGTACGTAGAGACCTTAAAAGCCCTGCGTGTCGTGAAAGCTCACTTATTCAGTAGATGTCACTTCCCTGGCAAATTTGCTAATCTAAAGCACCTTCGTTATGTGAGTGTCTCGTTCAATTAGTAAGTGTGTTACTTTTTAGATGCTTTGTGCTCAGCCTTGAAATACCTTGTTATTTGCATCAGATATGACAATATTGGAAGAGCATGCTTTCAATGTAATAAATTAAGGGCTTCTTTTTTTTTTATTATTATTTCAAGACCAAGTAAGCAGAATCGGCCCCAATCCTTTTCTAATCCACTTGTTACTAGGATGAAAACGGATCGGACGGAAACTAGCTTTATCATATTCGTTTTCATTTTTTTTCGGAATCGGAATCAGAATCGAAAACTCGGATAGGGAAATGAAATCGAATATTATCGAATACAAATATGGAGCGAATACGAGACGGAACGAATATGGCAGCAAATATTTACCGGTATATAAAAAACCCCTCAAATTGAGTTTCTTGATCGAGGAAGAGATATCGTTTATTATTTTAGTTCAACATCTCCATCATTTATACCGTCAATTTTGTAGACGGTCCTACAACCGTATGTGAAAATCGATTTTCATGGTTGTTCCTATAAGAGATCCATATACAAATATGATTATCATTTTCTATTCCCAAGACCTTTTACTAGATGTATAACTTACTTACCATTGTATAAATTGGAGATGCTATTTATTTTACTTCACATCTTCGAAACTTGTAATGTTTATTTTATAGTTTAAACGCTTTCAAATACAAATGCTATAAACTACAAAGTGGTAGATCCCGTTGAGCTCTACAACTTTGATATGGAAAACATCTCCATCAGATATCGTTTGAATTGTATATCTGAGATTTTGTAAAAATTAATATGGTATATTATAATGAATATTTAGACCCTTAAATGACCTCAAATAATAAAATAGTCGATAAGAAAGTTGTAGATCTCATCGAGCTCTACAATGTTGATATAAAGTTTGTCTTCATCTGATTCCGTATGAAAAAGTTATGTATATATACATGTTTTTTCTAAAATTTGCTCAATGTCTGCGGATATAAAAAAAATTTCAGATAGTTTCCGACCGTTTTCTGATTCTGACGGATAGTACCCTTACTATATTCATTTTCGTTTCAAAAAAAATCCGAATTTGTTTCCGAATCCGAGAATTTTCAAATAGTTCCGACCAAAACTATCCGAATCTGAAAAATGGTCTGTACGGACGAAAACTATCCAAACCAATTTTAACCTTACTTGTTACAATGCTTGTAGACATGCATTCACTAGCATGTTTAGAACGATTTTTAGCTTTGGCTACATGAAACTATACTCTACTATAGTCGTTTTATTCATTCATCAACTATTTCTTGGGCTGTTTGGTTTGATCCACGAAATTAGCTTGGAGTTGACGTCGCCCCCCGGATGAATAGGAGCGCAGGGCGACGACCGAGACTAGGGTGGGGTCCATCGATGGAATTTGGTCCGGTTTCTACGATTAATACCGATGATTAATTGAGTCCCAGGAAAACGAAATACAAAACCGACCAAATTCGGAGCTCGGTGAGGGGAGTTACCTCGAGTCGCGCCCCGTCGGCTTGCCGCCGCCCTCCGCCAGCGTCGCGTCGCGTGGCTCCATAGTCGGCCGCCGCCTGCCCTGCTCGCCCGATTCGGTGGAGCGGAGAAGACGACAAGGGTCGTAGGGCCTATGGGCTTTACACGGGCCAGTTCTCTTTTTCGGCCCATTTCATTTTCATCACCGCCTATCAAGGAATAAGTCCACCTTTAATCCCCCAAATACAGATGCAATCAGTAATTCGTATCCCTCAACCGGGATACCAGATATCTCGACCCCAACTATTAAAACCGGTGTAATTTGATTCCCTTGATGATTTTGATGGTGGTTTCACTTACGGACTTAGGCCCTGTTTAGTTCCCAAAACAAAAATTTTTACGCTGTCACATCGAATGTTTAGACACATGTATGGAGTATTAAATATAGGCAAAAAAAACCAATTACACAGATTATGTGTAAATTACGAGACGAATCTTCTAAGCCTAATTGCGTCAGTATTTGACAATGTGGTGCTACAGTAAACATTTGCTAATGATAGATTAATTAGGCTTAATAAATTCATCTCGCAATTTCCTGGCGGAATCTATAATTTGTTTTGTTATTAAACTACGTTTAATACTTCAATGTGTGTCCGTATATCCGATATGACAACCAAACCTAAAAATTTTTCCCAACTAAACAAGGCCTTAGTCCAACAAGTTGAATCAGCATGTGGGGCTAGGGGTGGGAAAAAAAAAGCTTGCGCTCGTGAGCTCAGCTCGAGCCAAGCTCGAGCTTGCTTAGCTCGGTTTGGCTCGAATGCCAAACGAGCCAAGCCCAAGCTTTCTTTTCAGCTCGTTCCTAAAATGAGCCGAGCCCGAGCTGGCTCACGAGCCGCAGTTTGCCTTGTGAGCCTCTACCATCATATACTTATATGGATGATTTATTTGCTAGTGGAGTTATTATTTGTCAATATACAATTCATCATCTAGATTATGATGAATTGAATATATAAAGTTATTTTTGCAATGAAAAGCAAAAAAGCTTGATATTATGAAAAACTGCTGCACAGTTCTTCATGAATTACGAATAACATCGTATCAGCAACAATATAATTGTTGATGGAGTTCTATATAAGACTGCAATTTCCTTTTGCAAGGATAAAGATTGCAATACAATGTTCATAAGCAGAAATTTGCAAAGTATCAGTTCAAATACAAGATTTATTGCAATAACATAGATTTAGTACAAGATTGAGTGCAATATAAGTTTGCTAATAATTTGTTCATGCTCAATGGTCGTTGATAAGGTGAAAGAACAGCAAAAGCTATACACGTCTTTGTTGGATCTCCATAGTCAACAACCAACACAACCAATGACCTACGGAAATCGCTTCTTCTCAATCTAGCCGTCAAGGACCTTGGTCAATTCAACTCCGGGTGTATCTACAAGGCATGCTTATCATTCAAAGAGATACTAAGCCCATACGAACCGAACTGTATTTTGTTGTTGTGGACCTTCCGTCTTAAAGTGTGTTCAACAGGCCTATATTTTAATGTAAGCGTATCAAGAAGCTCCATTTGTTCCATAATATTATGAAACAGCATATAGTTACAAATAGACAATCGTGGATTTCAGTTGCAATGCAAAATCCCCTCCGCACAGCCATGAGTTGAATGTAAAGTAGTTCATAACGCAGACATGTTTCACATATTATCACAATCCTATGTTCCGCGTCAGGGAGAAGAAATTTGCATATGTGCCCTCCTTAAAAAATAGCTTCACTGAAATGCCATCACTAAAATAGGATTCGCTCGAATGCCACTTTTAAACTGTGGGTATTCGCTATAATGCCATTTTCGCTGCTTGTTGCATTATTTGCAAAATATTAATTTTTCATCCAAATAATTATTTTTATAACCATTTTGCCCCTTGCGTACGTGTTGCGGCAGCCGCAGCGTGAACCGATTGTGGTCGCCGGACTCGGCGGCGGCGGCCGCCGACGCAACCAGCGATTGCCCCGTCGAGTGCGACCTCGGCAGCCTCACGGCGCGCCGCTCGCTGCGCAGCATCTCGAGCTCCACGGCCTCCTCCTTCCTGTCGTCATCGTCGCTGTCGTCTTCCTCGTCGCGGCGGCGAAGGCTGGCACCGCGACGACTGCTCCGGGGAAGGGGATTTGGCAAGGTATAGAATGATTGCAAAAGGCAGCAGCAAAACTGGTTGCGTGGAGCCATGGAGTTCACCGCCGCATCCGCATCTCCCGCCGCCGCGGACACCAGCGCCACCAGCTTCGCGAGAAGCTTCTCCTCTTCTCCTCTGCCGTGTTTCTGCTGGGGATTTGAAAGAAAGAAAAAAAAAACCCAGAAGCTAGTGAGATCCCATTCCCATCCACCACGCCTCTTACATGGCCCAGCTCATGACGTGTTGAGAAGGAAGCAAATTGAGTTATTGACTCTGAGCAGAGGAGAATAAGCAGAGCACACGCGTGGCCGTTTCTCCTCCGCTGCCGTTGCAGCTGTGATTTGCTGCTCGGCTGGTGCTGAGTATGATGAAGGGTGCCCCCTCGCAAAAGGGGGTCGCAGTCACCAGACCCAGACGACTGTTTACAAAAAACACAGCCCAAGCTGCTGCTGCAGGCGGCAGCGGCGGACAGGTGGGGGAGGCAGCGAAGTTCAGAGAGGAGGGGGATGGAAGCGGCGCGGACGGCGGGGGGAGGTGGCGCACTAGGTGGAGACGGCGCCGACGAGGTTGGTAACGAGGAGGCGGCGCGGTGGGAGGAGCTG